TTTTTTTTTGGTAGCTGCAAAGTTTTCATTCATCCTCTGCATATTCTTTAGTACTTCACTATAAAAACCTTACATTGCATGCATAAATGAAAATGTCTTGAATGTATAAATAAAGAGAGTGGCTACACAAAGTTACAGAAACATACATTGACTGGTATGATCTTTGTGTCCAAACCAAAAGGTCTACCTACTAATTGGATCCTTATAATTTGTTTTAAAAGTATAGAAAGCAATGTGTGATGATTTTGTGTTTGTGACTTCATTAACTCTTGTCTYTTATTTGAATTTTATAGGCCTTTTTTAAAGATCAAAATGTGGTCTCCAGTTTAAAGTTGCTCTCAGCTTCAGGACAATGGACGACATTGGGTAAAATTAGAGTAAATTAATATTAAGGGCAAAAATGTAACTATTTTCTTCTAGCTTGTTTTGTGATATATCCGTATCTTCATCTGTTTGATTTATCTTGAAGATTGTCTCCTTCCATTAAGCAGTAGGAAAAGATTCATAACTAGTTTGTGACTAAAATATCAAACTTTACACTTTTTTTTCCATTTCAAGCTTTGTATTGATCCATAAGTCAGGCTACTGGAAGTGCATGTAAATGATCTATGGTATTGACATGGTCATGGTACCCAGAGGTAAACAGCTGTGCAGTGTTCATGGAACTACCTTGTTCAGAGATCTTATTGGGAGAAAGACACTCTSCTCTGGGTGAATCCATGCTCCTTAGGGGAAATCAGAGATGACTGCAGTGTTACAAATTGAAGTTGAGGGAGCAGAAAGTTAGCTTGGGCACACTCCTGAGATTGCATAAATACCCTGTCTGTACAGCAGGAGCAACTTGCTGCAGGAAGAGAGCCATGGAATAAGTTGCTCTGTTTATAATCATTGTAAGGATGACTTTTCATTTGTTGTCATGTCACTAACTGCTTGTAACAGTTGGTTATGTTTGTAGATGACTCATTAAAGGAAAAAAAGACTAAGCAGAAATAACACGTTGAGCTTGTGGCAGCACTTTGTAATTGTATTTTTCATTCTGTTAATGAGCAAATTAAATTTTCATGCAAATTGTGGGTGATAATGTAATGGAGTTTTATGCATATTACAAACTCACACATCTCTGCAGTACTTTTCCTTTATAGATTTAAAAAGGCCAGTGTGGGAATCCCTCAGTTTTTCAGTTTGCTTGTGAATAAATTTATTGTGTGTGAATATTTAATTAAGCTTTGGGAATTTACTTACTTCGCCATTTCTGCTCTGGAATTGGCATAAGTATTCCCCAGTGTATGCTGTGATGCGAGGCTTTGCCAACTTTTTGCCAGCAAAATCTGTTTTTCTAAGATGCTGCATCAGGATGTTAAAACTATTGAGACAGAGAAGATGCAAAGAATATCTCTGCCTCGAGTTTCCTCTCAGATGCCTCTTTCTCCTTTTGGGACCCCAAAAGAAAACAAATTCATTTCAAAGCACAGACAACCCTTTTTCTTTTCCTGCTTTGGACAAGAATCTTAGACTATCTGTCTAGCYTGTGACTAGCTAGTGCCTATAGTGAGGAAGGTCAGTAGGTTACATACCTCGTGTTAAAAGCAAAGGGTCACTTGCCAAGTATCTCAGCTTCTTAACTGATTTTTCTGAATCTGTATTAACACAAAAGTAAAGCATTTCATTCAGAGGACTGGAAGGGCTCCCTCTGTAAATCCTGAACAGCTGGTACACCCCATTTGCTCTTAAAATTTCATCTTCCCATTCTTTGCCTATTTTGGGTGAGGAATGTTGGCACATTTTTCTGTACTTAGTCTTCATGTGCATTTTTTAAAAATATAGTAAGAATAAGCTTTGAGGGGGAGGAGACACAAAATCATCTTCCAGTATTTTCTTCTTACGACATTTTGTTAGTTCACATATACTGTTTACTTGTTACTAAGAGTTACTCTCCAGTGACAAGTTTCTTTTCTTGCAGGAAGACAGTGTAAATGGGCTTGTTTCACTTTTAAAGAGCCTGAATAAATTGACATAATCCAGAATTGAAATTTATTTATTTTTTAACAGGGGGGCTATTCAGGATGCATTGTATGATGATTAGTGGGGTATAGGTAGATTTTTGAAAAACTTATTCTCGCCTCTCTGTGAGGGGATCACCTGCATCACAAAGCTGTATCTACCTTGTAAGGTGCTGTCAGAGTTATATAAAGTATCTGTAGAGTGCCACTTTACTAGGCTGCTTATTTTCATAATTCTTTTTTTTTCAGGCTGCAGCCCTATAGTGTTAAATTATCTTCCTTTACAATCCATGTGGTCCTGTTTTCCCTTTCACATATATCTCTGCCTCTTCCCTGTTACTGCTGATCTCCTTTCCATGAAGTCTCCGTTTTCTTTACCACCTTTTTTTTCTCTCTTATCTGTTCAGTTTTGCTCTTCTTTTTATTCTCATCTTCACCTTAATTTTTCAGACCCTAATGTCCCCGGTCTCCCCATCTGTCAGACCAAAAGGTGGCACAAAACTTGGGTTTCCTGAATCCACAATAGGCCAGTGTCTAAGGGACTCCAGCTTTAATAGAAATTGAACTACAACATTTTAAGTAAAAAGTATCCTGGAATATTCTCCTGCTTTATTTGAYTGGACAAATACTTGGTTTTATCGCCCCTTCTCACAACACTTTTTTATTTATTTTATTTACTTTTTTTTTTCCTGTTGTAGGTTATATTTTCCTTTCTCTATTTGGTCGCTCCTCAGAGTACCTGACAGTTCTGTCATGTGCTTCAGTGTGCCCTCTTCTCTTCCTCACATTTTTCTAAAGTAGAGACAGCAAAATGAACATGGTTTGATGCATATCGATTTACATATTAAGCCTTGCATTTTAAAATAGCTACAATGAAATGTAAATAGCAGGTTTTCCTTTGACACATTATTGGCCTTGCACCTGTCAGCAGCTGCAGGGAGGCAGGACTGTATCTGCTTAGACTCAGTTAACACTTGAAAAGTTATCATCAAAGGTGTAGGGATACTGTCTTTTTGTGTAAACAGAGGTTTAGTATTTGCTTAAGAAAGACTCTTAGTCGCCCTGTGTGCTTCAAGCTATCCCGACTGCTGTCTTAAACCTGAGGTTTAAAAATCTCAAGTCAGCAAGTTTTCTAAACTGCTGTTGCAGGTTTTCATTTGCTAAAACTTTAGATGTCATTCGAACCAATAAATTGTTTTTCTGTACATTTTACTTCAAAATACCAGCTTTTTTAATACCTCAGCTTTAAGCTTGCATTGTATTTGTTCTGTATTTAATTGCTTTTTGAATAGTAGGATGCAGGAGGTTTCTTCAATGAACATTTTTTCCTTAAGTTTAGGAGGAATTTTGTTGTCTTTGTTTGTTTGTTTTCTGTGTTTAAAATACAGAGTTGACAAGTTAGAAATAGAGAGGAGAAATGTATGTCATTCAGAATGTAGTTCCCTGTGCTTGCTTAATGCTTGCAGATCGCAGCTTGCAGATTACTCCAGAGCCAGCTGTTAAACCCAGGTCTGCTTCAGTCTCTCAGCTCTTTGCTTTCCACTCGCACACTTGTCACAGAGTTGTTGAGACTTCACTGCAGTTGTATTGCTCACTTCTGCAGCGTTATTAGCGCTGGTTACTCCTTCCAGGAAATTCTGAATCTCAGCTTCCCCACTTCATCTCTGAAATGCAGCATAGGAGCTTCCAGCACATCCAAACGTTTCTATTTTACAGCGTGTTTTTCTAAACTGCTCAATATGTAACAGAACTCTTGATTGATCTTTCCTGATGGAAGGTTTCATAAAATCCTCTTTGGGAACAGAATGTGTCTCTTCCTCCCCCTCATTCTTCCCTCCAGATAAAATCCTAACAATGTGAAGACCTATAAATAGCTGAATTTCTTATATTTTGAGCTCAATAACAGGAAAATGTTAGATATGGCTTTTGTTTCAGGTCATTTAGCATCAGGTATTGCTACTCTTGAATCAGTTTTTGATTCATGTTCTTTTCCAAAATCATTCCTGTGTTAAAGGCAGATTCAATTCCTATTAAATCTTCATGAAATTTCTAATTATATGAGGGAGAGTCTGACTGAGAGATAAAAATTAGAGTTTTGGAGTAAAGGAGTGGGAGGAAATAAAAGCACATAACCCTTTTCTTTTCTAAGATTTTTGGCTCCAAGTCTTGGATAACAAGCACACTTCTCCATGGACATGTGTGTAAATGTGAAACCAAGCAATTAAAGAATATGCTTTTTCCTATAATTGATTTTCTCATCAACATATTTTCTTAATAATTTTAAAATTTCATGCCAGCATTTTTCAGCTTAAGTACAAGCACATTTTCAAACAGTCAATTTGTAGTTTCCTTTATTTTCTTATTTTGTCTTAAGAGTGATCATATAGGTGGGAGGTTTAGATATCAAAATGCCACCCTACTCCATATATGAATAAATGATCTCTGTGTAATAATATATGGGAGAAATCCTAGGAATTTCAGGGAGTGCAGGGAAGAGAAATRTCAGGCTAAACTGTGCTTGCAGGTATTAAAATGGAATATTGGAGATTTATGCTCTTGGAAGCCTTATAGTATGTACACCCTTTTGACATATTTCTCTTCCTGAAATATTGTCATATAATGATAAATGTGAACTCTTTCCGAATATTAGTCTTCAATTATTTTTTTAGGTCAGTTTGGCAGGAAACTGCTTAATTTTATGCTTAAGTGTACAGTCAACAGCCTTCTGATATTGTGATGTTGTGGATGGAGGGAATCTACATGGCAGAAAAGATAAACTCGTGAAAAATCGGAATTTTATGACTGTTATCTCTGCAAAGCTGCACTGCGCTACCTTGTGCAGCTACCCCTGCACTCAGGTTCCTCCCGTCCCTCTCTCTGTGTTTCTCTTCCCACTCTGTGTTGAAAACAGAATTGTGTCTGGTTTTAAAAAGCATTAAATCCCCTTTTCACTTTGTGAGGAGATAGGAGCAGTTAGTGACTTCTCTACTTGGATCCAAGTGTGGTGTTTTTTCCTTGGATTCTTTCAGGCTTAAGTAGTGGAATTAGGATGTTCTAAGGTGTGGTGTTGAGTTTCACCTCGTGTTTCATCTGTTATTTGTTTTGATTGATAGCGTTACCAACAGAGGGAGCAAACGTGTGAGTCTTAACCTAAGGTAGCGTTCAGCTGGGCCTCATGTTTTCTTTGCCCTTGTTTCTCTCGTAACTTTCATGCTTTGTTTTGTTTTGTTTTTTGGTGTGTCATTGAGCTTTTTATCTATGTGTTTCATTTTTTTTTTAAATATGCCCCACACAACCATTTAATGAAGTTAATTACTTTGGCGCTCTATCAGTTTCTGAATTTTTATGAAACCATTAGTACGTGGAAACTCTCCTGTTCTGTATAACACGACACACTTGAAGTGAAGCCTGTCTGTTTTATTCCAGGTTCCAACGTGATAAAAACCGAAGCTACGGTGGTGCCCTGTACCCAGATTTCCATGTCATTTTTTGATCGTTTGTACACGGAAGGAGTTGTTAGAGAAACTGGACATATTGTGAAATGCTATGATGAATATTATGACGGTATTATCATCTCTGATGAATTAAGGAAGGTCAGTGAAGCACTCAATAGTTTCTTATAAGTGTTCATATTTACTCTGTTCATGTACTCTGTTTGGTACTGTAGGGACACATCATTCAGCATTTCTTTTTCTTTTGATATGTGCTTTTCAAGGTAAAAATAGAGCTCTGTAGCCGTGTGATATAAATAACTGTCCAGTTCCCAAGTGTGTCAAGACAATGGTTATATTTCAGTTGGTCCCACTGTCTGCTTAGGTGGGGGGAAAGTTAAAAGCTTCTCCTGATTGCCCTTGACACAAGGAGCCACTAACTAAAAGAAAAGAAACGCAGCTCCTTTTTTTTTGCCTAGGAGGGGAAAACAAGAAGTTCCAGTGGAAAGTTCTCGTGAAACTCAGAGCTGCAGGTTCACCTGCAGGGTCTGAACAGTTCATAAAACTGAAGGTACTCAGCAGCTACGTCCTGCAGCTTTCCTCACCAGTGTCACATGTGAAAGTATTTAAGGACAGGCACCTTCATGTATTTGGAATGGAAACAAAGGAGAGGAAACTATGAAAAGGGAAATGGCCTTGAAGTGACTGCTGAAAGAGGACCTTAATTTTAGGGGTCATTTGGAGGTCTATGTAAGTAGCTCAGGTTGATGACAGGAAACTTAAAAGATGTATTTTTTTTCTTCTGTGAATTTTGTTCTTTAATAATTGCCTCCCCTTCTGCTTTAATGGTGTTTAGCTGTGCGTATTTAGTAGCATTCACTTTCAGGCAACATAAGCTCCAATAAATACAACTTCCTAAACAGGCCTGCAAGGTAGGAGCTGTTTGCTACGTTCTGGTGGAGGTGTTGGAGAGCAGAGTATTTTGAAAAATAACCTTGCAAGAAGTGGCACCTTCTTAATCGACGTGTCTTCATCCAAAGCATTTCTTTGGACTTCATAAGCCCAACCAAATTCTTCTTATTTATGTTTGTTTAGCATTAGTAAAGCATAGGCTGGGAGAACTGGCTCTTGCTCTGCCTTGTATATATAATCAGCCGAAGTACTTAATAATTACAGAGTTGCACTCATTTGCACTTGGCAAACCCTTTGAAGATGGTGTGTGTGAGCAGGCAGCGACACTGCTTGCAGCATGTGGCTTGAAAAACTGGTCTGTCCTGTGAAGTTCTGGGAAGGGAGAGAGGCAAACTTGTGTTTGGCTCTCAGGCTTGGTTTGGAGGCTGGCTGTTCAAAATACTATGCGTTTTCTTACAAATTGGGTATATTGGCATTTTTTTTAAATTAATCAAATTAGATATTTGATGTGAAAAGCAAGAGGCAACACTTAAAGTGACATCATGAGAGTTTTAGTTGCTTTTCATTTGAAAGTTGAAGGGTTCACATCTATTGAAGTGGACATGATTCCCAGTCATAAGACTTAGAATGTCAGAAAGAATTTGGCATCCACATCTCCCCAAAGCTGCCTCTGAGCTTAGGTTGGCTGGTGAGYGCCCTGGAGGGGCAGGCTGCAGGGGGCAGCAGACTGTCTAGGCTCCTTCTGTCACAGAGTAGCCCTTCTGGGCAAAAATTACTTTTTTCCMCCTATCTGCAGTGTGTTCTCCTCTTGGTGCCACCAAGAAGGAAACGGAGAGGTGCRTGAGGTGGCCAACCATGGCGTGAGCTCAAGTCTCCTTCTCCTGTTTGCATCTCTCTGTGCTGGTATCTGCTGTTGGGGTGATGTCACTCAGCYATTTCGTCAATTTTTTTCACATTATTGGTAGTGTCACTAGCAGGATGAAMCAGTGAGTTACCAGGCTCTTGTAAAGTCTTCCATATCTCTTGTGGGCACTGATCTGAGAGTTGATGTTTCTGCTATTAAGATKTTATATTGTAACTGTAAAATGTGAATGTGGTGTTAATCGCATCGTTGGGAAAAGGATGTCTACTTGGAAAAAATGTTTATCTGTTTCTATCCTGTTTCCTATAAGTTATATGAACATAGACTCTGCTTAACATACAGAAAAWAACTGTATTGTTTATGTATTTAATTGCAAATCAATTTAGATATTACATAGCTATCTGACCTTTTTATTGCATTCTTGTTCCATAAGGTCTTGCTTCTGGAAGATTCAGAGCATTATGACATATTCAGTCAGTCAGATCGCCAGGAGTTTCTCTTTTGCCTTTTTAAGCACCTCTGCCTTGGAGGAACTTTCTGTCAGTATGAGGATATGCTTGGCCCATACTTGGAAACCACAAAAGCTTTATATAAGGACTTGGTAAGGTAAGTGTTTTCTGATTTTGTGCAGCTACGTATGTATGTGCCGTGCACAGACACTTGGTGGCAATTTGTGTGAGTGCTGTGCATTACTGCTTTGAAATTAGGGATGTTTTTAATCAGTCTTCAAGCTCATTTATTTTCAGGTATTAATCTGGAACAAAGATAGCATTTCATTGGCAAAAGGAAATGTACAGTTTTAATGGAAATTGTTCTAACTAAAAAGATTCTACTGTATTACAGACAAGTTCACTGCTGTTTTATAATTCATTCTCATTTTAGAGATTTTTGTTTCTATAATTCTCTATTGAAGATAGGGCAATAGTACTAGAATTTGGTTGTGTCCAATTGTGATTGATGTAATTTCAACTATTGGTCTGTGTGTGTATACATGTGTGTTTGTATATATATATATTTATATGTACCATTTTCAAGCTTTTGTTAAAAAAAAAAAAAGAAATATTTTAGTTGATTTTTAAAAAATATTTTATTCCACTTTTTTTGTTTGTCTGATTTTTAATAAAGCCAGATTTTGCTATTCTCAGGTCTACAATAGTGCAGTGACTCATGCAGTGTCACTACTAAGGGCAGTAGAATCTGGCTGTTAACATGACAGAGGACTAAAACAGTTTTGGCCGAGTCTGGTGTGTGGAATTGYCTGGAATTCATTTATTTTTGGTTAAGATTAGAGGCAAAAAATGGCTATTTTTTCCTCTGTTTAGATGTACACATATGGTGATTCTCAGTAGCAAATGGTGTGTAATTAACAATTATACAAAGATTCATTCCTAGCTGAGCTAATAAGAATATAAACGTTATGAACAATATTACTAAACTTCAGTGCTGTTATACTTTGCCACCTATGGTAACTATAGGTAGAGAGCACAAAGTATAGTATTAGCATGAGCAGTGAGAGCAGTAACAGACCTCTGGTAGGTGGGATAGCACAGGAGCTCTGGTAACACCGACGCAAAGGGATGCTCTGAAACATGCAGTACAAAGACTTTGCATTTCCTAGGCAGAAATAGTTATTTTCTTCTCCCGCAGGCATAGCTGGTATGGCGGGTGAGCCCATTGTTTTTGCACCTCCCATTTTAAGGCAAGCAAATTAAAAAAAAAGTCTGTGCAAGTTCTGTTCATCGCTSAGTTTGTTCTTTAAATGTCTTTGGATAAACAAGAGTAAAACTTAAATGTTTGAACAAAGATATGGTTAAAAAAAGGAGATCCAGTGATTCCTGCTCACTTGAGTATTTCCTGACTTTGCAGCCCTTGTGTAAATGTAGCTTGCTGTATCCAAACAGAATATAAAACTCAGAGTAGTTGGCTCTCTTGTTGGAATTTTTTGTAATCCTGCAGCAGAGAACCTTACAAAACTTTAATTAAGTTTGTAATTTAATTAATTAAAAGTCTCCCTTTCCTTTTAAATAGTTTGCTGTGCACTTGGAACAAGTTGTTTGCTACTCTAATCCTTGGCCTTCGTTCACTCTGCACTGACTACAGCTGTTTCTGATCTTACGTTGTTAAATGACCTATGAAAAATGCCAAATCTAATCACTTCTTTTACTTTCTTCCTTTCTTTTGCTATTTTTCCCCTATCCAGGTCGAAGCCTTGTTCTGAAACACTTCTTTTTACCTTCATATTTCTTTTCCCCACAATATAACCTAATCAGGATATTAAGAAGTTTGCATCTGCCAACATCTTGCCACTTTTTTTTTTTGCATTTTCTATCCCCTCAGCCTTTTCTATGTTGACTCCTTTCATATTTTTCTTTTTCTTTTTGTGCTGCTTCTTATTTCCTTTATATGTTATCATAAGAAAACCTTTCAAGGTCCCCACACTAAGCTTCCCCACACACACACACGTCAGTTTTCTTTCTATTCTCCAAAGTTTTAAAATACATCTATGCACTTTAGCAGATATAAGTGCTCATCAGCCACATACCTCTCCCTGGCCTGTAACGCCTCTTGCTTTCTCACCGTCTCACAATGGGAAAAGCTCATGACAATTTAACTCAATCTTTGAACTTGCTCCCTTGAAAGTAAGTTATTTGACAATCYCATGAGAAAAATTTTCAATCTTGATGTTCTGTTACCAGCTTCCTGGGAGAGAGAAAGCCAGTGAAGGGAAAGGCAACGTGGCTCTCATGAGGAACTCTCATGCCACAAGCATCAGTTCTAATTTCTGGTTCATGCTGTGCACTGTAACACTTAATTTTAGGGAAATTACAATAAAGCAAGGAGCAAGGCCTCTTATGTTCTGTAAACTATTGCATGGGACAATAATGGTTCCTGAATTCTATCTTAAGCATGGAAAGTTCTGCAGGGTCTCTCTGATGCCCTGAGTGGCAGGCAGCTTTCTATGAGCTTCTTCCCACCTYCCTTTCTTACAGTTTCCTGATAGTTATTCCTCAGTTATAACTCCAAGGCACTGAGGATAAAAATAATGCCCCAAAGCTGACATTTTATTTTATTATAGCATTTCCATKTGTGTAGCTTAATCATGAGAATCCAATAACCTTTTGAAATTAACAGTTCTAGATATATTTACAAACACAGCTAGAGAATTCCAAATAAAACTAGTAAAAAGATTAATCATTACTTTGTAAAGTGTTTGTGTACAACTTGTTGTCTATTACTAAGTCCTCTGTTGCATCTATCCAAATCCGAGCATGTGATGTGTTCTATGTAATCCAAATCATTTAAAAATACTTTAATATTTTTGGTTTATCTAAAATTAAAGAACATAATTATATGATAAAACATGYTAGTTGAAATGTACTGTATGAATCTTGGTGATTTCCTAAAGTTCCTGGTAACTCTATCTTCTGTACTTAAGGCCTGATTTTTTTCTAATGGTGTCTTTCTAAGACGACAGCTGCCTTACATGGTTTCTTGTACTCGTTCTCCTTCCTTCTGTGTTGCCCACACACCCTCTACACACCCTTCCCCTTCAATAAATTAGTTTACCTGAAGACACTGATTTGCTTTTTTTGTGTTTGGAAAGCCTTTTGTGTTTGGAGGTTAGGATGCAAACAGAACTTGGGGTGAATCGAAAGATGTCTTGGGAAAATTTCTTGTCTTTAGAAGAGAGGAAATGCACATTATAATGGTTAAGGAACTTCCACAGTCAATTAGTAATATAAGAAATAACAATTTGGAAGAACCAAGTGGGATATTATGACTCTTTTTTTAAGGGATATTGTCCTTGTCAAGAAGATGAGGGTTTTTTTCCCTAAAYGCTTAAGGAAATGCAACAAATAAATGTGCCACCAGAAACCAGAAAATCCTGGTTTCTATCAAGTCAACAAAATTAGATCCATCTTATTTTGTCAGATATATAGTTCTGCCCTAACCATTAAAGTAGGTGAAATAAACATTCAAACTGAAAAGTGATGTATAGGAAGCTAATCACAAGGCAAAATTTCTAGGTAATGGAGTAAATACATTCTCTCACACCCATTTCCTTGGTGTCCTATGTATATCCTATACATAGTAGAGGAAATAAGAGGCTAGAAATAGAAAGTTGTCATTTTTAGATCAAAGCATGTGAGCTCAGAGTAAGTTAAGCACAACTTTTTGAAGGAGGTGGAAGCTTTTGAAGGAGGTGACAGAGGGTAGAAATAGTCACCCCGCTGCCCTTCTCTCCCCTGCTCCGCAAGTTGTCGTTGCCAGCAGGGAGGTTAAGCAGGTTCTGAGCTGCTGCCCTTTACAGCCCCGTGGCTCTGCATAAACYGCCATCCACTTGAGTTTATCTTAGCACTGGGCTGTGCAGGGCAGTGGCCCAGGAGCTGAGTCACGAACCAGTTGAGCTGTCCCTGCTGGGAAGGCAGCAGCTGGGGCCACCACCAGTTTCAGCAGCGCTGGTTTAATCCACTGTGGACTATCTGCATATGTGAGCGGCAAGGAAAAACTCTGAACCATCAGCTTCACAGGGCAGGCTTAGTGATGGCTCATACATGGCTGGCATTGCAGATGAAACCAGTAAAAGTCAGTGTTTTGAKTGGGAAAAGAGATTGAATTGACAAAACCCCAGAAGGTTGATTGGGGTTTTGTCTGTTCTTGGTACAAAGGCGTCTTTRCAAAGGCAGTGGCAATAGGGGACTGCTGTGATAGGCAGCCTGGAGCTCTCGTGTTGACGCGTTTCCTCAGGCAACGCGGCTGGGTTGGGACCCTTCCTAGGAACAGACCCTGTTTATTGTAAGGGGTATGGAATTGATAGGGCTCAGCTCTTCCACGCTAAGTTAATGAAAAGAGGAATCTGAAAATAAATAAATTGGTAGATGKTGCATGATATAATTTATGAAGAAATGTAAGCATCACTTAAAAGCAGGCCTGAGGGAAAAATAGACATACAAAATATCTAAATATAATATGTGTTGAGATGTCTGGTCAGTCTGCATTAGTATCTTAGCATGCTAGTAATTATCATGGAAGAATGGCATTTTTCACAACAGTCGCAAAAATACAATGATTTGGTAATCAAAATACCATGCTAAGCTACAGGAAAAAAAATCTTAAAATGTAATTTTGTATTAAATAAAAATGAACTATCATCTCCATATCTTTACCAGTACTGTTGCTACTCCTTCTCGTATCTAGTATATGCCATTCACATATTTCCTTTTTTTTCTCAAAGAATGTGTAAAAAAAAAAAGAAAAAATATTTTAACACGATGTTTAGCTAGATCACCTTCATTATACATGAAATCACAAACTTTATGTTGCAGTCACCCAGGCCTGGTATTATTGCTGTGATTTAGCAGTTGAAATCAGTAAAACTAACCCAACCCCGATGACGAGATATATTTTCATTCARTAGTTTCAAGTAAAATATTACCTTATCCGTGTTATCTTGGGCTGATAATACAGCTTTTCATGGTTCACGTGGCACAAGTTGAACGTTAACTGTTAGCTTAAACATGGCAAAATTAGAGGAGGCATGTAGTGCATATGTTCAAACCTTATCCATTAAATGGAGGCCTCTGYTATTTGTGGTGTAAGTATTAAACTTGCGTTATTTCTCTGTATTTCAGTGTTCAAAAGAATCCAGAAACAAATGAAATAAGCATTACTTCTACTGTCTTCAGAGTGTCTGCATATGTAAGTACTAACTACTTTTTGGAACAGAATTTTACTGGAAGTAACATGCATAACTTGAAAATAATGTTTTGAATTACCATTTACAGAAAGAAGGCTTAATATTCATTTCAAAGGGGTTATTTCTACAGAGTTGTTGCCATTCTTTATTCTTGAACCCTCTCCCTGGTTTCATCCTGCTTGCACTCCTAATCAACTCTTCAGCAACAGGCACCACTTAAAGTTTTAAGCTAACTAAAAATAGGTTTGTTGGATTGCATCTGAAGTCATGATAGTTATCCAGAAACTAGCTATGAAAAAAGTAGTTCTGAGTAATTCTGTTTATATATGTACATGAAAGAGAAGAAGGGATTAAGAATCCAGTCTTGACTGTAGTTCTGTTTTTAGAAATGTTTTTAGAGAGCTTTCTGAATAGTCCGTCTGGCATCTGCCTCTGCAAGGCAGTTCAGGACACAAAAGTTAGAGTGGAGAGATGAACCTGCTCTCCTCACCCTTCTCAACTCTTGTTTCTGGGTGTTTTTTCTTGCAAGATCATACATTTACTATGAGGAAGAAGTTGACAATGGGCAGCCTGTTTACTGGATTTAATGTATCTGTCATTTAATTGCTACAGTGGGCTGAATTACTCCTAATGCTTCTTAAGTAATCAGTGTATAATAATTACATCAGATAATGTACTACTTCCAAAAGAAACAGCTGATGTCACTTCAAACTGCACAAACCTCCCTGTAACTTGCCAATAGCCCAGTTGTTCATCTGTGGGTCATCATCTTTTAATGTGTGATTCATAGAAGACTCGAAAAAATTACTAATTTACAGATGTATCACAATTTACTTCAATTTATTAGGCTGCAAGCTTCAAATTAAAGAAGAAAGATAACTTGGTATTCTTCTGTTAATACTTTTTCCGAGACATTTCTGGATCACTAGTAGATCTGCATCGACTTTGGGGACTTCTCTGTTTAGGTGGACCTGTTAGTTAAGAGCCTCTCTATGTCTTTGTCATACATTGAGTATCATCAGATAAAAAACAACCAAACAAACAAAACACCAGGCAGCTTTGAGCAACATTTTGAAAGCAAGGAAGTGGATGGGCAAAAGAAAATCCAGTGCAAATACAGAGCATGCCACCTCTATAGCCACCTCTATAGCCTTTGAGGAAAAATATGGTTTTAATGCAAATTCTGAAAAGTGAAGTATTCTGAAAATCTGGTTTTCACTGAAGGCCATCGTAAAGTATCTTCTCCCAGAAAAGTTTATCCCAGAGACATGCTCAGACTTAACATGAGGTTACTTCAAAACAAAACGTTGCAATGGGTTTGTCTGGATTGTCTGGCAGTTTTAAGAATCAAAACTCCCAAATCTCTGCTGGGAAACTGCAGGAATGGCACTTACTGCAACACATGCCCTGTGCTTCTGATGAGAGCTCCTTCTAAAAACGACAACTGTATTTCTGCAGTAGATGCAGTAGATTAATTGGGAAAATACCCAAAGTGTGTTAAGAGAGTCTTGATGTGGAGGCGACAGGGCATGAGTCATGTTTGTTAGTTTGTTTATGAAAGAAAGGGACGTAAGCCCTTGGTCTTACATAGAAAAGGGGAAGTTGTTCTGGTAAAAGTTGCTTGAGCATCAGCTGAAAAGTGAGAAGAACCCACATCTTAGCAAACAAGATTAATAAATGGACAAATAAATGTACCTGTATACTTGTAAAAAGTAGAAATAGCACCAGGAATCAAGAATTTTAGGTAACTTTATCATGACACCACCACTCTATGTTAGACACCACACTTGTCTAACTATGGCTAAGAAGACCTTGTTTCGGAAACAATATCCAAAAAAAATCTGTTAAAATCAGATAATACAGAGAGATGAAGCTGGTTGGCATCATCAATATACTGAAAATTGTGTCTCGTGGCTCTTTTCTAACAGATCTGAATCCACAAGTAAGTATCTTAGTAGTGCAGGCATGTAAAAATCAGTGAGAGAAACTGATCTAATCTTGGAAAGTGTAATTGGATGTTTCAAAAACAGTTACAAGCAGATGTAGTGTTTAAATAGTAAGATCTTTTAATCTAAATATTTCAAAATATTTCAAAAGTTTAGTTATGAATTTGTGTGTTATGTATATAATATATAAATATATTCTGAGTTATTGTAAATCATGTGATCACATTCCAAAGCCTCACAGTTTGCATATAATGGAATTTCATGAAATATGAGGTATTTGGATATGAATTGGTACTTACATTTACATGTGCTTGGATGTTGCTCTCCTCTTCCTTTTTGGTGGGCTTAGGTTATTTTTTGGATCATACCCAAAGACGCTGTGATGCTGACTACTGTAAAACCTAACTTAAATCTTGCTCTCATTAGACAAATTGGGAATCCAGTGTTTCATACACCAGAATCCCTACAAAATGCCCAAAGACAGCTAGGAATCTTAAAATTGGAGCCACACAGCCCGCATGCGGTATTGCTTAAAACATAGTACTATTTTTAGCTTTCTCTATCTCACTATTTAAAAAGAATGCTGAAAATAAATGCACCAAATCTCTACCTACCTCTTCAACCATGCTTTTAGGGTAGTGCTTATCTTAAATTAAGATTTATGCTATTGAGTAATTCCTCAAATGAAGAACATSTAATGTAGAATTCATTCTCTCCTAAGTAACAGGAGAGAAATTTGGATGCCAGTAGCAGCCACTGGATAAAAATCAAAAACTGTCCTTGAAGCAGAAAATGGAAACAGGGTCTTGTCCCTCCAAGTTGTCTGCCTTAAATTTAAGATAGGAGGTTACAGTTCTCATGATTCCTTGATCAAAAAAAAAAAAAAAAAAAGTTGGATTCTGCAAAGTAGAACAGCTCCTGCAGGAGAATGAGGGGAAAAAATATGCTTCTAATCTGGAATATTTTGCAGTCTGTGAATTTAAAATTTTCCTGGAAAAAAATGGACACTATACTCAGTATGGGAATTTCCCTCTGGTAAAAAAGGAGACAGAGATTACACATCTGCAAATACTGTGTGAAGGTGGTGGGGAGCAGCAGGAAGCTCTTACCTGTTTTAAAGGAAAGGAGGGGTCTGTTGCATATGTGTTTGTCTCTTGGACATTAGATGACAAGACTGAATGCATCCAAAAGAGGGAACCCCTCCTTTCTGAGTCCACACAGGATTTGAAGCAGATGTCCAGCTTTGCTTGTCCTGTCAAGACTAGAGCTTTTATTGATAGGCACAGAAGCAGAAGTTAATTTATTTAAAATTTATTTCAAATAATAAAAAAATAGGAGTCTAATTCTTGCGTTACTGGTTGTCAGGTAAGTGTAGTTTTTTTTCGAATGAGAAACTTGGAGTTAAGTGTCTAAATTCTGTTTAAGCACTTTCTGAGTATTGACGAGGTAACCTGAATAACATTTTGAAGACATTAATATGAGATTAAAAAGTATTTTTCTTATATTCAAGTATTTAAGACTGAACAGATGCATTAGCAAATGTTAAGTGACAAAAAGGATAGATTTCTAATTCACTTATTAATATGTGCTTCCTAAACATCCTTCTATTTCAAAGGAAAAAGCGCCTGAATCCCCATGTATTTCCTCACCTCTTTCAGGCTCCAGTTGTGTACTCACAAGCTTACCTGCTTAATTCCATGTTTGCAATGGATGTGACATTTCCATCCAGGTTCCTGGCAGCACTGAGAGGGATGGGGCTGCCTATGTACGTGTGGCAGCGCGGGGATCTCCACAGAGGGGTCCCTGTCCTGCCCAGTCAGGCCCAGGACGGGGGTGCCCTTCACGGACGGGCGCTGCGGGTGTCCCAGGCCGCCGCATGGTCCCTAAGGCCGCGTTTCCTGTGCGCTCCGCAGGACGAGGACGGCCTGTGCTTCCCAGCGCGGCGCGGCCACGCGCAGAGCTTCGCCTACCTGCTCGTGGACCCTCGCAGGCGGCACGTGCACAGCCTGAGCCACAGCTTCGGCGTGGGCACAGCCTGAGCCGCAGCTTCGGCACGTGCACAGCCTGAGCCGCAGCTTCGGCGCGGGCACAGCCTGAGCCGCAGCTTCGGCGCGGGCACAGCCTGAGCCGCAGCTTCGGCATGGGCACAGCCTGAGCCGCAGCTTCGGCGCGGGCACAGCCTGAGCCGCAGCTTCGGCACGGGCACAGCCTGAGCCGCAGCTTCGGCGCGGGCACAGCCTGAGCCACAGCTTCGGCGCGGGCACAGCCTGAGCCACAGCTTCGGCGCGGGCACAGCCTGAGCCGCAGCTTCGGCGCGGGCTGCGCGCGCCCCGCGCCCTGAGTGCCGCGACGCCTCCCGTTGCTGCTGCCGCGGGGACGCCTGGGCACCAGCCTGTGTGCCCTGCTCTGTACGGCTGCTGCTGGAGTTAGCGGGGGAAAAAAAGTTGTGTACAAGGTTTGTAGGTTCTTTTAGGGCATATTCTGGAACTGTTTGTGTGACTTTTCCCTCATGGCATTAGCAATAAAAGACATTTTTTCTGCTCCTSTTGTCCTAATTTTGAACCACGAAGCGTGGGAGGGGGTAGCCAGGTGAGCAGGGCTCCCTCGGGCCCATCCGCCGCCTCGGGCCGCTCCCGCTCCCGCTGCGGGCCCGGGCGGGATCCGCTCCCGTCCCGCCCCGTCCCGTCCCGGGCGCGCGGGGCCTGGAGGCGGCCGTGAAACTCGAGCGCTGTTTGACCGCGCTGCGTGGCGGCCGCGCGGGCGGGCGCTGCAGGCCGGTAACGGCAGCGGGGGCGGCCGCGGGGTGTGTACGTGTGTGAGGGGGGGACAGGAGCCCACGCGCGTCCCGCGTGGGGCGCCGGCCGCGCGGGCGGGCGGCCCCGCGGCGGCGGCGGTGCGGGCGGGCGCGCGCTGAGCGCCTCGCTCGGATACGGTGCGGGCGGGCTCAGGAGGGGCGGAGCCGGCCGCGGAGAGTGATTCGGGCGGGCGTAACTGAGAACTTTTGTTTGGCGTGTTGCGCGAGTTTAGTTTCCGCCGCCGGGACGGAGGCGCCGGCCGGGCTGGGCCGGGCTCGGGGGCGCCGCGCGGCCGCGCTTGTTTTGTGGGGTGAGGAGCAGCGGCGAGGCCCGGGGGAGCAGCGGGGCATGCGGGGCCGGGCAGGCGCGCTCTGAGCCGCCGAGCCCCGCGAGGGAAGCGCCGGGGGTCCCGCCGCAGCCATGGATCCCGGGCAGCCTCAGCCGCAGCAGCCGCCGCCGCCGGCGGCGCAGCCCGCGGCGCCGCAGCCGCCGCCGCAGCAGCAGCCGCCGCCGGGCGCCGTGTCGGGGGCCGCGGCGGGCGCGGCGCAGCCGCCGGGCGCGGGGCCCCCCCCGGCCGGCCACCAGATCGTGCATGTGCGCGGCGACTCCGAGACCGACCTGGAGGCGCTCTTCAACGCCGTCATGAACCCCAAGGGCGCCAACGTGCCGCACACGCTGCCCATGCGGCTCCGCAAGCTGCCCGACTCCTTCTTCAAGCCGCCCGAGCCCAAGGCCCACTCGCGCCAGGTGAGGGGGGCGCCCGGCGCGGGGGGGAACGGGAAGGGGGGGGGGTCGCTCCCTTTCTTCCTCCGGCCGCCCCGTGGGGGAGCCCTGCGCCCTCCTCCTCCTCCTCCCCCCGCGTGTTTGTGCGCGGAGCGCGGCGGGGGGAGGGGGCGGCCGTTGGTGACCGTTGGCTCCGCGGCGGCGGGGCCCGGGCTCCACATCCGCTGGGCGGCCCCATGGCGGCTCCGCGGGCCGCGCTGCCCGGCCTAATCCCAGGGAGGGAAGGGAGCGAGGCCCGTGGCCGGCCCCCGCCCCCCGCGCGCAGCTCCCGCTTCCACCATTTCCTCGCCGCGGCGGCGGCGGGATCCGCCCCGCGGGAAGCGGGAGCCGCGCGGGATGCGGCCCGCCGCCGCCGCGCCGGGAAAGTTACAGCGCCCTTGCGAAGGGCTGAACTTTGTTGCCGGGCTGTAAAATGGGGTTTATTGTTGGCTTTGTCGCTTTATCTGCGTGGCCGGCAGGAGCTGAAGCTCGCCGCAGTGCTGGGGCTGCCGTCGTTAGGCGTCTGTCAGCATTTCCATTATTAAAGCCCCGTTTTGCGGGATTTATAGCTTGGCTTCAGGAGKCTGCAACAGGCTGGAGCTTGGCACGGCCTCCCTCCGCCGGGGAGTTAATTCATTTTCCAAATACTCGACAGTCGATCCGGCCCTCGCCTTGCGAGGCGGAAAGCGCCTTGGAAAGGGGTGGAGCCGCCTCTGGAGCCCTGTTTGCTCCAGAGCTGCCGAATTTCCGAGGAAAGCCCGTGTGGCCTCCTCAGGGCCGGAGCATCCCGGGAGCCGCCGCAACGAAGTTACCTCCAGCCCGGCGAGTTTAATCCCCGTCGCTCCGGGCGCAGCACGGGCCTTCGCGCCCCCGTTGCTTGTTGCTGTGTCCTGCWCGGTGCAGCGAGTGCCGCTAAATGGCTCTGCTGGTGGAAACGCTCCAAACTTCTGCGACGCTCGCACACCCCGTGCTTCTAAGCAAAGCATTGGCTTGCTTGTGTACGTTACTCCACATCCATAGTGCGTATGGCCTAGTTGGATTATTGCTCCTTGCACCAGTTGGTGGCTCTTGAAATATGAATTTACAAATTCAGCTGAAACTAGAAAATCATTTGTTTTCACCATTCACTGTCTTTTAAAGTAAGTTTGTTGTAAGTTTCTTTTTTTCGTTCATTTGTGCCATAAAAATAATAGGAAAAAAATGAACTTTCCATAATTCCTTCTGTTTCTCAAGACTGAAAGCACCTCAAGTGAAGTGCAACTTGCACAYTGTATTAAAACATGAATGTAAGGTAATTCTTTGAAATACATGTCCAGTTTAATATATAGAGCTCTTTTTGCTCACAAACACACTTAACAAAACATAGAAATGTCAGTCTCCATAAGAACAGGCAGATGGGGCCTCACGTATGGTGCAATACCCACACAGTGAGAGGTGTGGGAAGGGCCAATATAGGCAACTTATTATACATGTCCATGTTGTTCTTGTGCCTCTGCAGAAGGAATTAATTTGTGAATATATTTAAGAGTCAATATTATTTAAGCCCAGTTTTCAAAGCTGCTCTTCTGTTCTGTGGTGGACACCTATTGTTGACGAGCAAGTGCTGCGTGCTCGTGCCTGGCAGCTTTCTGGTAAGGAGTTTTGTGACTCACTCTGATTGACTGGTGGAAAAGTTTGCTGAAGCTTTGCTAGAGATAAACCCCAGCAAACTGTTCCTAGGCTGCACGTACCCTTGGAGTGCAGTTTGTGTCAGGTTTGGGAGGTTTTGCCTGCAGGATGGCGTGGTTTCCTTGTGGCAGCATCCAGTAGTTGTTACTCCCTTGGAAATGCCTGGTGTCAGTGGGCAGAGGTCTTTGCTGCTGTTCTGCTGGTGAAATTGCYTCAACCTGTGCAGGGGATGTCTGGTCCCTTCCCTGCTTCTCAAAAGAAGAGYGGGAAATGAACTCCTACGTCAGGAAGAGGTGTAAAGATGCCGCTTGATCACAAGCCATGCAGTGTTCTCTAGTAGGTCTTCTGGCTGCGGGCATGTTTTGATTTAAACTTTCACTAGGTAAAGAGAACTTCAGTTTTCAAAATAAAACTAAATACATCTAGAAAAAAAAAGGTTTTTTTTTTTTTCTTTTTTTTCTTATACAAGAGTTTTTGTGACGCTAAATGACCAACCTACTTTGAGGCTCTCCTGAACAGCAGCAGCTGCAAAGTAACCAGAACTTTACAGTGGTCAGTTTAGGAGTTTCTCGTGGAAGACATTTCACTTTACTGGAATCTTTCAACAAATGCATTTTCTTTCCTGAAATACAAGAGTCTTAATGGAAATAATTTCACTCCTGACAGGCCAGCACTGATGCGGGGACTGCAGGAGCGCTGACTCCTCAGCATGTCCGAGCTCACTCCTCCCCAGCCTCCCTGCAGCTGGGCGCTGTTTCTCCGGGGACGCTCTCCCCCTCTGGAGTAGTGACGGGTCCGGGAGCTCCATCTTCCCAGCACCTTCGCCAGTCCTCCTTCGAGATCCCCGACGACGTCCCCTTGCCACCAGGCTGGGAGATGGCCAAGACACCCTCTGGCCAGAGATACTTTCTTAAGTAAGTAAAAAAGTGCGCGCGCGCGCTCTCTCTCTCTCTCTCTCTCTCTCTCTCTCTCTCTCTCTCTCTCTCTCTCTCTCTCTCTCCCCGCAATTTATAGTCTTTGAATTTTAGCTAAATTCCTTATGTTTAAGATGTGTATTCTAAAAACGTGGTTCTGGTTTCCAGTAGGAGAGAAGATCCTGCCACTCCAGTATTTCTTCCATTTCAACTAGTTGTTTCTGAAAATTGTATCTGACTCTTTGAATATTTATCTTCTTAGTTGGAGAATTTTGTTCATTATATTACATGTTAAAGCYTAGTGAAATGCACAGAGATTTTTAAACAATGTGGTTGTTGGCCTTGTTGGATCTAGCTGACTTTTCATTCAGATCAAGGTATATTTCGCCTTTTTTATGCTGCACGTATGAAAAAAAGGTAACTATCTTTGGATACTACTGGAATAAGAATATATCCAAAAGACCTTTTTTATTATTTTTTTTTAATACTTACAGTGGCGTAAGGATCTAACCAAAGCATTTCTGTCTACTCTGTACTTTCAAGGAAATAAATTAATATATGTATTTAATTGCAGTACTTGGGTCTGTAACTCCTGAAACTCATCTGTATTCCCTGCAGTGAAAGGGAAATGGCARAACTTTTAGTATTGTTTCTTGTTCCTACAGCTATAGCTTTTTTCACGCAGTGGAATTAGTATCACCTTTTCTATAACCGAAGAGAGGTTACACATGCCAGCCATCTGACACATAATTCATCAGGGAGCATTTTCTTTTAGGCTGTGCAGTTTTCTAAAGCAGCAGGAGCCTGTCCTGCTTTCTGGAAGTGCCYACCAAGACACATACCAGGCCCTCGAGTATTTTGACTATATTTTGAATGTTTTATTCTGCTGGAAGGCTCTGAATTCCATTATATGTCATTTTGAGGGCTAGGGGAGGGGAGGAGCAGAATAGTATGTTATTTATATAAAACATATTTCAGCCAAGTAAAACATCTGTATTCTTACCTTTCTTACTAAAATATTGGTGTTATTAATATGTGCATTTGACTGAAGTATTTGGGTCTATAACTTTTAAAGCTAATCTACATTATATGTGATGAAAATGGAAATTGTTGAACTTCTAAAACTTCGTTGTTTGTAGAGTGGTGTTGTTTTTGCACAGCAAAATCAGCCTCCCTTTTTTTTTTTTAAACCCAAGATTACACAAGTGACAGTTATCTGACACTATTTGAGCCTAAAAGTTACTTTTCAGACACTGTTAATATGCTAAGAATGAAAAAGTGAGCATTAGCTGAAGAGGTTGAAGTTGTATTTATTTCTTTTATGAAGAACAAATAAATGTGTGCTAGAATGTGAGAACTTCAGTGAGCACAAACAGAATTATTTGTAACTGGGTTAGTTTATACCATATCAAAACTATGGCTCATTGGGCCTTGAGAAAAGCACAAAATGAGCTTAGAAATGAAAAGCAAACTTTGTTTTGACTGTGCTTGTGAGAGCTCCTAAAGAATAGCTTAAAACATGAACAGTGAGTATTTGGTTAGCGAGTTGCACTGTCCAAGTGTTTATTTTTGCAAACASTTTAGATTTTTTAGAGGAAGCAGCTAAAGACATGCAAAATATCTTTATGCTCTTTCAAGTGATGATTTAATTATGCTCATTCTGGTGAAAGCAGAAGGAAGGATTTGATCTTGGGAAGCTTTTCTACAGTTTCATTATTGCCACAGAAAATCTTTTCCTTTTTTCTATGAGTTTTTTTTTTTTTTTTTTTGTCCTTTCTTGGTGTCCTGGTATCCATTTCAAAGGGTCAGGTTTCAGCAAGAACAATAAAGAGCCTGAGCCTGGAAAGTACACACAAGTCTGGCAAACTCATCTGCATGAGCAAGATCGTTTGTTCTCAAGCAGACATCCAAAGTAAATGATTGAAAGGGCTGCTAGCTGTGAAGGATGTGTCTTGAAGGGGAAAGGAGTGGAAACAAACCAGGTTGTTAGGAAGAAAAATAAAGGCTGTACTTTCTGAACCTCTCCCTGCTGGGTCACATGCTGACCTTGGGAGATTTTAAACAGCTTAATGGGCTGTTTTCTTTTGGCTTTCCTTGGGTGATGCTGTGGTATGAGAGCATCTAATGAGGACAGTTCTGAGGGCTGCATTCACACTTGAAGAAYGTTTGTTCTTCTAAAAGGTTGTGTAGTACTGTCTACAGGTGAGATCCMCCTACTTCATGCGGTTCATAACAATTTATACGAGAAAGAATATTTATTTGTATGACCAAGAAGCTCAAAGAAATTTAAGAATTACTTTTAAGAACTGCATGCTTCAGAAGCTGCTCGTGGTACCATTTTCAGTGTTAACTTCCATCTCATACCTAGAAGCTTGTTAAAACTCATGTCTTGTCTAGCTATACATTAAACTTTTCCTCCAAGAGTGAATGAGTATTCAGATTCCTGGTACATTTAACGTGGTTCCTTCTACCATATGCAGATTTTTGGTCTCTATTCCAAGTAATCAGCTCTTTTTGTTGGTTTGGCTGCACTGCTCTTTGTTTCCATTTGTTCTGTTCTGTAGCCACTCCATGAACAGCCGAGTAATGAGGCTCTAGAAGGATCTTTGCAGAATAGGTAACAGTATTAGATTTTTTCCAGATGTCAGTAAGCCTTATGGTTGTAGTTATCATAATATACTATACTGCAAACAGAAAAATACAAATCTGAGTGCTGTACTTAATACAGTGAGGAATATAGTCTGTAATCAGTGGCTCACATGTTTTGTGAGTAGTAGTTCACACAGGGATGAAAAACAGCATGTAGGGGGAGAAAATCTCTCTCTGGTTGAGTGACTGTGCATGTGCATGAGAGGTGAATGCACACACACACTCACAAACACACATTCATTTGACCAGACATATGTTATATGCACCCTGGCTGCATGCACATACTTAAGAGTGTGAGAATAGTAGTTTAGGGTCTGATTCAGAATTATTCTTGTAWATTAGTCCATCATTGAGATAAATAGACTCCTTTATATATGAATGTCCAACATAGGATTTGTCAGAATACAACTCRCTGGCGTTCATCCTCTGTAGGACTCTTTGAGTAGAGTTTTCCATTAGTGAAAAGGCAGGTGATTTCAGCCAGTGAGTTAGTACATGTTTGCTACAGCTGGTAAAACTAATTCTGTAATTTTGTGCTGAAATTGCCACTTAACTAGAGCTCATTAGTTCAGACTTGCCTGGCTAGCAAGTGGTCATGTCTGAGTCATGCGAACGCTGCCGCGTGGCCTTCTAGAGCCCGCTCTGCAAGGAGGACTCGCTTGCTGTGTGTGGAGATGTCGTCTGCATCGCTGCTTAACTGCTTCCTGCTGCCCAGCTGCTGCTTGACATTGCTCTGAACTGTGGAGAATGACTCCTGCGTTGCGCCCAGGCAAAAGATAACGTGCCAGGGTAGCAGCAGGCAGCAACTTGCACAAAGAGGTCTGTCCACCTTGGGCTTGAGTTTAGAATTAAGGTCGTATCTTTTAACTTTTTGTTAAAACACAGAGGTTGCTTGATTTGTCTCCTCATCTTTCAGTGCGAGCAGAAGTTAACTGATTGTCCAGCAAATAGTCTTGTAATTACTTTTCCTAYAGGAAGTACTTCTTGCAAGCAGTTTATCAACAACTTCCTATTTTTTCTGTGAAGTGTTGAACGACTTCCTGAAGGAGGCCAAGGTGGTTTTCATTAGTGTCTGTGGGTGTGTTGGAGGTGTTTACCCATCTGGCAGAAACCTTAAAAATGGATTATTGTTACACACTTCTTAAGTGCTTTGTCAAGAGGTGCCGGATAGGTGTTGCTTTGGATGTTGTGAAACCAAATCATTCTAAGGTAATAGGGTGTTTTGTTACTATGTTGTTTTCTTTCCTTTTTTTTTTCTATTTTTTTCTCAATGTGTACAAGAGTGTTACTTCATATATGAAAAAATAACCAACAGTGTTACGTTTCTCTCACCTCCATTGTCTAGAGTCTCAGCACGACTTTTCCACCCAGTAACTCAGGTCCCCTTTCTGTCTCTTCCCCACTAGCCAAAGTAATCTTAGTTTTCCAAGGCAGAAAATGCTTGTGGGATCCTTGGCTGCTGCTCTATTGTATATTTTACTAAATGCCTAAAATTACTGAGGAGATGTACGTTCAGAATTAACATTTTATAGGAGTTCTGGTGTTTTTGGTTCTGTAGTTCAAACTGGCTTAGCACTAAAAGAACTATGTTGCTGGAGACCAAAACTGCAACCATTTCAACAAGAAGTAGAATATTTTTCTGTTCAGTTTAATTTGTATTAAGTCCAGTAAAATAATTTCATTTTTATATTGATAATTGTTGCCTGTTAAAATATTCATAGTATCTTTCTTTTAAGAAAATAGAGATCTGTACAAGGGAAAATGGGCAGTGATAGTTTTGGAACATAGCTGAGAAAAGAAATATTAACTCAAATGCTTCTAAAGTGTGACTTCTCGAAAAATTTTTCACAATTAAGATTTTTGGTCTTGGAAGATAGTTCTAAGCCTGTATCTTTCCTTCTGCCTCTCAGCTTAAATAGTTTTTAAGTCTATTCTGTGAAATGATGTTTATCAACTACTTTGAATTTGGAGCTGTACTAAAGATCCTCGTGTCTTTAAAAATGGGGAGGAAAAGGAAAGGCAAAACCTGCCTGGTTGTGCTGCAGCCCCTGGCCAGAGCTTACAGCTAACATAGTGTGTGGGCACAAGTGGTGAGAATGGCCCACAGCATGTTACTTGAGCTCTTGGCTTTGTTTAAGGAAAAACTGCAGGCATATTGCTGGTTCCTTTGCATTGGATACACTATAATACAAGGTGATTTTAAAAAACATACAAAAGTAGTTTGAGAGATGTGATGAGATAAAATAATATTTAAAAAATATAGCTTATTGTATTTTTTTTATAACTATTATGCTATTAGTCTTCAGGCAAAAATAGCTTTGAGGAGAAATACAGATTATGGCAACCAATTG